CACATCTCTACCAACCCACTAGATGCCAGTAGTATCTACCCTCTGTCAGTGGTGACAATCAGAAATGTCTCCAGGCATCACCAGATGTCTCCTAGGGGCCCAAATCTCCCTGGTTGAGAACCATTGGTCTAAGCGTTCTGCCTTGGGAGGCAGCCTCCCTTGGCATATATTGAAACACTCCTTATCTGTGGGACTAGACCCTGATCTGAGCTCTTCTCTCAGGATAGGTCAATAGCTGCTTGAACTGATCATCACCAAAACAGAAGGAAAGCTGATTGCCCTTCTAACACTTTCTTTGGCAGTCAAACTGACTCGCTCTTCTAAGTAAAGGAGATTGACTGCTAAATAGGGCTACTGGCAGCTGTGCCAAACCCCAAGACCAATCCCCTACTCTACATAAACAGTTGCATTCCTTTTTTGCGAGTGCATGCACATATACACACATGTATACACACACACACACGTGTACAAACACCACTCCCAGAACTAAAAATATCATTTTAAAGCTTAAAAAAAAATTAGTAGATGAGCTAAAACCAAAGATGGCCACTTGTGAGACTTGAATGAATGACCCAAAAGATAAAGTGAAACAAATCTCTGAAACAACAGAGTAAAAGTTTGATTGGAAATTATGAGCAGAAAGATCTGAGATGTAGCCACCGAATTCTGGAGAGCCAGGTATCGGTTTCCCAAGGAGAAAAAGAAGAATCCGTTTTATAAGGAAGGAAAGAGGCAGATGAAAGACCAACAATAATTCTACCAATCAAGGCAGAAAATATCCCAACCAGCAGAAAGACTTGAATTATGTTCAAGCTGATTTGAAAGAGCCTCAGGCCTCTTATAAAATTCCAGGACTCCAGGGAACCAGCAGTTAGTGTAATGGCTATGTCGCTGGACTCCCGCGTAGTTGACCACAGTTCGTGTCCCGGACCAGGTGGCTTAAAACTCATGCCGGGCACGTGTGCATGCGTGCCCAAGATCCCGAGAGGAGAATGGAGGAGAAGAGATTGCGGCGTGACCAATCACCCCCTGGGGGGTGATTTCTTGCTTTCTGTCTCTATGTCTCTCTGGGCAGGCGCACGCCCCCTATAGTGAAAACCTCTCAAAAAAAAAAAAAAAAAAAATTCCAGGACTCCAGAAATAAAGTACCTTTAGAAAGGAAAAGAATGCCCTAAATTGTCACTACCAGGTAATATCTACTTCATTCATTAAAAAATAAAAATAATGTGTGGGACCAGCAGTTAGTGTAATGGCTATGTTGCTGAATTCCCATGTAGTCGACCATGGTTCAAGTCTCGGACCTGGTGGCTTAAACTCATGCCAGGCGCATGTGTGTGTGTGCCCAAGATCCCGAGAGGTGAATGGATTGCAGCATGGCCATCCCCCCTGGGGATGATTTCTCACTTTCTGTCTGTGTCTCTGGCAAGCACACGCACCCTATAGCAAAAACCTCTCCAAAATAATAATAATAAAATTAAAATAATGTATACAAAGTTAGAAATTTAGTTTATGAAACTCTTAAAGGAAAAGTAAAAACTCCATTCATAATCTGTGTTTCCTTCCCCTTAACTTTTTCTAAAAAGGTAATTACTATTAATAGTTCCCTGAATTTCTCACTTCCTTCTAAAATTCATGCATTTTCCAACATAAATATCCTTATAAATATTTATTTATATTAGTAAAAATTTTATAGTCTCCCCAACTTGATAATTTGAAATAGCTTATATGTCAATACATGTCTAATTCTTTTTAATAGCCATGATCTGATTTTACAATCAATTTTTTTTAGAGGTTTTTGCTATAGGGCGCGTGCACTCGCCAAACAGACAAAGAGAAGCAGAGAGATAGAAAGCGAGAAATCATCCACTGGGGGGATGGCCACGCCGCAATCCCTTCTCCTCCATTCTCCTCTCGGGATCTTGGGCACGCACGCACATGCGCCAGGTGTGAATTTAAAGGCTGTAAAAAAAAAAAAAAAAAAAAAAAAAAAAACCAAAAACACTCCCTGAGCTTTTTTTCTCATTAGAAGAGCAGCACATTTATTTTTTTTAAAGAGAGTTTTGCTATAGGGCATGTGTACTCACCGGAGAGACAGAGAGAGACAGAGAAACAGAAAGTGAGAAATCAATCCCTGGGGGAACAGCCACTCTGCAATCCCTTCTCCTCCATGCTCCTCCCGGGATCTTAGGCACTCACGCACAGGCACCCAGTGTGATTTTCAAGCTACCAGGTCCGGTACTCAAACCACAGTTGACCATGTGGGAGTCCAGTGAAATAACTGCTACACCATCTGTTGGCCCCATCAATTTCTTACTAATGAGCATTTTTACTTTATTCAGGTTGTTCTTTTCTTACAAACAATCCTACCGTGAGCAACTGATGAATAGATAAATCCTGTAGATCTTTTGTAAGCATACAGAACTTCTAAACATTGAAATTGCCAAATCAAAGATTTGTATTTGCATTTTTATTGATTAAAGGCCTTGAAAAATTCCTGAAACATAGTAGGTACCCAATAAATACATGTTAGACTGAAATGGTCATATTATCTATCAGAACGATTGAGTTGATTTTATACACACTTTATAAAATGTTTTAAAATCACTATACTGGGTTAAATTATGGCCCTCAAAAAGATGTCCATGTCTTAATCCTCAGAACCTGTGAACATGATCTTATTTGCAAAAAGAATGTTTTTTTCAGGTGTGATTAAATTAAGGCTCTTGATGTGAGGAAATTATTCTAGTTATCCAGGTAGGCCCTAAATCCAAAGACAAATGTTTTTATAAGAGTGAAACATGGGACCAGCAGTTAGCGTAATGGCTATGTCGCTGGACTCCCACATAGTCAAATGCGGTTCACGGAGCCCTCTTGTCCCCCCAGAGGGGAGGGCCAGCTATACCCTGCCCTGAGCTGGACCACAGCCTTGCTGGGCTCCTGACTTCCCCAGGAAGCCATGTGGGGACCCCAGTTTCATCTCTAAGAAGCCTCCAGCTGCCCTGTTACCCCTGTGACCTGGACATGTCCCCCACTTTTGGCAAAACTCCCAATTGCTACCCAGACCTTCCCAGACTCTGGCTCCAATCAAGGGCGCAGGTCAGGGTTGCCTGGAAACCCCCATACCAGTGTGTGTGTGTGTGGGGGGGGGAGGGGGTGTGTGTGCCTAAGATCTCGAGAGGAGAATGGAGAAGGGGCTGCAGCCTGGTCCTCCCCCTGGGGGGGGGGGATTTCTCGCTTTCTGTCTCTTTCTTTTTGGAGATCGGACACGCCCTATAAAATTATTTTTTTAAAAAAAAGAGTGAAGCAGAAGGAATTTTGACAGACCCAGGAAGGAAAAAGTGATGAAGATGGTGGAGACAAGGAGTGATAAGAGTGATGCAGCCACAAATCTGGGAATGGAGAGCAGTCACCAGGAAGAAGCAAGGAATACGATCTCCTCTGTGGCCTCCAGGAGGAATAAAGCCCTGCCCACACCTTGATTTTGTAATTCTAGCTTCCATAATTATGAGACCCTCAATTTCTGTTGTCATAGACATTACATTTGTGGTCATTTATTCTGGTAACCTCAGGAATCTAGTACAATCATTATTATTAAATTGGAGCGGTCAGCACAATAGAAAAGAGCATCTGGAATTTGGAGGCAAGTTGATTATTACACAAAAGATAGGTTAAATTCCAAAGTCCTGCCCCTGACAGCAACCCTCTTTGTCTTTCTCCCAAACAGCTTCCCTGTTACTGCCTCCAGCTCATACATTCTCTCCTGGCCATGTCTGAAAATAAGATCCAAAGCAACTGAACAAGGCAAAACAAACATCAACCTACCAGTTTTTCTTGGTTTTGGCACAGGCAGATCAAATATTATACAAATTGATCTAATCTAGACTTTAAAAAAGAAAGTTTTATAAACGCTTTTCTTCTTCTTAAAAGCCCAGGTGGTGGCAGATGGAGACACACATCTATATCCATCAAATTGTAATTGATCCAGAGAGAGCCTCGCTGGAGAGAGGAGGGCATTTTCTCAGACAATCTTTGGTCTCTCCCCTGGTGGAGAATTATCATGCCATCTGGAAAGAGGCAGTATATGCCTTCCACAGACATTGTGAAGCTAATTACCAACCAATTCCAACTTAGATTGGCCTAGAACCATGGAGTGAACCCCTCTGTCTTCTTGTGTCCCAAGTCACTGCTTTCTCAGCGACCAATTTTGACTTAATGAAACAAATTCTATTTTATATTTAAATAGTACTTACAGTTTTGAAAGCACTGCCAAATGTAGACTCTCTACTGTTTCTTTCAACAAAACTATGAGATAGCAATGAGGCAGAGATTATTGTATATATTTTCTAAAAACTGAACTTCAGAGAGAATTCTTAACTTGCCGAACACCAGACTTCTATTCCACTGATGTCCTCCACACCATTACGCCTCCTGGGATCCACTCATTTGAAGTAGATATAAATTTTTAAAAGGAGCCTGTTTATTTTCAGGTGCTCAGGCTCATTGGGAGAACAGGTGGCCCTGAGCTGCAGAAGAATCACCTGTGTGTCCATATGTGAAGGATGACGATCAAGACAAGTCTGAGCATTCAAACCCCCATATCTGCCGAGTCCAAGTCAGTTCACGTTTCACAGTGTGTTTTACTTCGGATAAGATTTGTTTAAAAAGTTCTCCTGAATCAAAGTTTAGACTAAATGTGGATATTAGACTCTACCATCAACTTCTGGTCTACAGTGTATCTTCTGATATCTGAGGAGGAAAATAAGCAGAGCCCATATGCCTTTTAAAATGTATTTGTCTAAGTACACAGCTCTCAAAAGACTTGATTCCAATATTTCCTTGGTAAATCATTAATAAGTAAAATTTGCAGGTGGTCATTCTCCATGGGGCTATAAAAAGAAAATTAAAAGCAAGATCAATTGTCCTTTTGTAAAGTGCTAAAAGAAAAAAAATTCCGTGTTTTTTATGATGATCAGAAACAAAAAAATTCTTTTGTAAAGATAATTCTCATTTCTGTTCCATGAGTCATAGGAGAACAAGTAATTTGAATTAAAGGCAAGAGATCTAAATTTATGTACTCGAAATCATTTGATCACTATGTGTGTGTGTGTGTGTGTGTGTGTGTGTATAGTTCCCATTCTGTGCAAATGTGTGTTCAGATTATAGCATTGAGCAAAACAAAGTCTCTGGTCTAAAGAAGCATTTTTTCTACTGGGCCAAATAAGGCAACTAACATATCAGTTTAGTCTCTACTGCAAAACACATTCAGACTCTAAGTTGACTGCTCCTACTGTCCTCATCCAGACGCCCTAAACTAGAAGATTACAGAGAGCTAAAAACATAGTTGACCTCACCTCTACAATTTAACATAGTCAAGAAAAAACTGCCCACAGCATTCATATACATAAAAAAAAACCCAACAACAATAATTCACAGACACTAGAAAATGCTATCCTTGCTTAGGAATTTTTAAGGATGTAGACCCTTCAGTGGGGTGGGCCTCTGGGACGGAGTATATGTTTGCCAAGGACTCCTCCTGGTACTTGGGGGGCTTCTTCCATTTTCTTGCACCTGTTCTGCTGTTATATTCATATACATTCCCAGAGACTGTGGGAGAAGAACACAAAACACAGAGAAAGTATTGCAAAGCACTTGAATTTACAAAGCCCTTATTCACCCCACAAAATGCTTATTGAACACATGCTGTAGAGCCAGCATAGTGACAAGTTCATCTGCTCGAGTCTCACCTCTTACCAAGGAAAAACCTAGGAGCAAAACTTGAACAGGATGTGATTTCACATAAATTAAAAACTTGGGACCAGTAGATGGCATAATGGTTATATTGCTGGACTCCAATATAATCGATCATGGTTTGAGTCCTGGACCTGGCAGCTTAAAACTCATGCTGGGTGCATGTGTGTGCATGCCCAAAATCCTGAGAGGAGAATGGAGGAGAAGGAATTGTCGTGTGGCCATCCCTTCTGGGGGCGTGATTTCTTACTTTCTGTCTCTGTCTCTCTCTGTCTCTCCAGCGGGTGCACATGCTCTATAGCAACAGTCTCTCTGTAAATAAATAAATGAATGAATGAAAAATTTTTAAAATAAAAACTGCTCCTGGGCCAGTTGGTGGGGATGGTGGTTAAGGCAGTTGAAACAAGCACATGCCTGATTTGCCCAGGAAGGTCCTAGAACATAAACCCAAGACTGACCTTTCTTTTTTCTTTTTTTTTTGAATTATTTTATTTATTTATTATTATTATTCAATTTGATGAGAGAGAGAGATAAGGAGAGCAAGAAGGCAAGCTTCCAGATCTGGGACTCAAACCATGGTCAGTCATGTGGAAGTCCAGTACCTTAACCACACCATCTCATCTACTGACTCCTCTCAAGACCTTCCTTATGTGGATCTAGTTGCATCACCACTGTGCCACTGCCTGGCCCACATGTATATGTCTAATGAAGTCCTGGAGTTTGGATCTCATAGGAACCTCATAATTTAATCTAGATCGGATTAGGATACCTCAAATAGAATGTTTTTGGCTTAATAAAATATTTTTAAAGTAGTGACTTTCTTTAGAGAGAGGTTGGTAATAAAGCATTCATAGTTTCCTGCCAACACATCCAGAGCTGTCAGAAGTTAGCTTGAAGTAAAGTATCACAAGCTGTTAGAATGCCAAGGAGTCTTTTATGACTAATACTCCACAAGTGACCCTTCACTAAATGACTTTTGTATTTCTTGCATTCAGTGTTTAAACTTCACATCATCCACTGAAACAGATGAAACCTATAATATCATGCCTATTTTTAAGCTAGGAAAGGAAACTTCGGGGACCTTAAGGGCTTGGTCCAGGTTCACATTGAGAGTTAGTGACTGTGTCAACACCCAAACTCTAGTTTTTGAATTCCACATCCAGAGCATTTCCAGTACCTCTGATGACTTCCTATTCCTTCCACTTCCTTTAGGGAGGAAATGCATAAAAAAAAAAAAAGAAAAGCTTCTGAAATGTTTTGTAAAATTCTCTGCAATTTTAGTGTTCCTAACAGATACATCTCTAGATGAGGGATTACAAATCCATGAAGTATTTGGCCTATGGTTGTTGAGGCTGATTAATAATAGCCATAAGTTTTTTGACCCTCTGCCTTTGAGAGATGAGGTGTATACTTCACTCTTTGCATCTGGTTAGACTCTGACTCATGAAACCAATAAAATGTGGTAGAAGTAGCTGTGTGCCAGTTTCCAGTCCCAGACCTCAAAAAACTGTAACTTCTTTTTCCTCACTCTTGGAACTCTCCAGCAGGTCAAAACTGGCATGGAAAACGTCTAACATTTCTGTAGAAACTACATGTAGAGACCGTGAGATTAATGGAGAAAAAGTGAGACCCAGCTGATGCCACTCTGCAACTCTCCCCACCAAGATGTAGGCTTGTGAGCAAATTCCCTTTGGACCCATGAGACCAGGCCAGCTTCCAGATGAATACCATAGAAATAACCCTTTTAATTCCACAACAAAAGACTTGCCCAGGTGATGCCTGTTCAATCCCTGATGCACAAAAGTCTTAAATACAATAAGATATTAGTTGTCATAAAATAGTAAGTCTTGGAGCAGTTTGCTATGCAATAATACATAACTGGGGGAAAGGGGGTGTGGGGGAGGAGAATGTTTTTATTTGGCCTACATGATAGAGTTTAATTGAATTAGTTACCTATATTTAAAAACAAGCAAATTTCCTGTAACAATTTGGATTTCGGGCCTTTTTTGAAGCAGCAGAATTCTGGTAACACCAGGCCTTAATCACATGTGGCAGTAATTTGATGGAGGTGAGTATGGGTCATGCCCCCAAACCTTAGTTACCATCTGACCAGTGAATATATTGTTTCAGCAGGTCCCTTTCACTCACTTATTTTACCTGCCTGGCCATAAAATGGTTTTTGCTTTAGGACAAAGTTCCATTTTGCAAATGAATAAGTCATTTGTTCACGCACTTTAGTACCCGTGTAGGTAAAATGGTCCTAACTCAAAAGATATTTCAGCAGCATACCTGGATCAATGGCTTCTCCATCAAACACAGTCTCAGACACAATGGTTTCCTATTAAAAGGCATAAAAATATTAGCAATAAAGTCAGGTTGATAAAATTAGATTTGACATATGCTGAATACTTTGAATGGCTGGCTTCTTATAAATCACTTCATCTTTCTCATCTACAGAGGCTAGCAGCTGAGGGATTGAAAACTCCCTGCTATTCATATGTCCTCCCAACTCCATCCCTTACATCAGTCTGCCTGCCTCTGTTAACTCAAGTCCTTTTATTGATGTGAAGGTCCTTATTGTATATGAGAGATATTATGGCTTGATTGTGCCCCCATCAAAAAAATCCATGTTGTAGTTCTAAGCCCCAGTAACCACATTTGGAGATAGGATCTTAAGATATCATTAAGATGGGACCAGCAGGTGGCATGGTGGTTGGGGCACTGGACTCCCACATGGCTGACAGCAGTTTAAGTCCCAGACCTGGCAGCTTGCTTTCTTACTCTCCCTCTCTTTCTGTCTTTCTCTGGTAAGTGCATGTGCCCTATAACAATTTTTTTAAATGTATAATGATGATAAATAAAATGAAATAAATGATTCTTTTTTTAAGAAGAGAGATAATTAAGGTAAAATGTGATGATGTAGGTGGGCCTTAATTCGGTATGACTGGTTTCCTAATAAAAAGAGGAGATTAGGACATAGGCAACATAAACTGAGGGACAACCATCCGAAGACTTGGCAAAGCAGTCCTTAGCAAGCCAAGGAGAGGCACCTTAGGAATAACCAAACCTGCCAAGACCTTGAACTCAGACTTCTAGCTGCCCGAACTGTGGGAAATAAATTTCTGTAAGCCACCTAGTCTGTGGTATTTTGTTACAGCAGCCCCAGAAAACTGATACAGACATCAACTGGCACTGATTTCCTAAGAAACAGACAAGGGAAGGAAGCATTGAAAGAGAACCAGTTCATAGGCCAGCAGGTGGCATGGTGGTTAAGGTGCTGGTACCCCCATGGCCAACTTCGCAGTTCCAGTCCTGGATCCAGTGATTTGAAAATCACTCTGGGTGCATGTGCATTTGTGTCCAAAATCCCAGGAGGAGACTGGAGGAGAAGGGATTGTGGAGTGACCATCCTCCCTGCAGGTGATTTCTCACTTTCCCTCTCTCCATCTCCTCTCTCTGTCTCTCTCCATCTCTCCCCAGCAAGCACGTGTGACCCATGGCAAGAATCTAAATAATTAAGTAAAAGAAAGAGAACCAGTTCATGAAATAATGACATGGTTAGTCAGGACTCAAGGAGAAATGTCCTTGGTATATGGGGAGGCAAACAGAGAGAAAAAAATACAGAGGTAAACTAAAAATGCCCTTTCTTATTCCATTCTACATTTGGTTTTCTTTTTTTTTGGAACCAGCCTTACCATTATACAGTTGTTTGTGTGGATCATTCAATAAATAAGCCTCAGCCAGTTTCAAGATGATTTACAGACTCTGGGGTTTAGATTTAACATCTGCTAAGAAACTCCATAGTTGAAGAACTTTTTTTTTTCTTTCTTTTTTTTTTTTTTTTTTTTTGAGAGGTTTTTGCTATAGGGCGTGTGCGCTCGCCAGACAGACAGAG